AGGAAGGATAAAGATCGCCAGTTGCAAGATGGGGAAACTGAGGCACAGAATAAAAATTATTGGCAGAATTATGGAACCCAGGAGTCCTGGCTGCCAGTGCCCCCTGCTCTAACCACCAGCCCCCACTCCCCTCCCAGAGCCAGGGAGAGAACCCAGAAGTCCTGGCTCCCAGCCCCCCCATGCTCTAGTCCCCACTCCCTTCCCAGAGACAGAACCCAGGAGTCCTGGCTGACAAACCCCCACCTTGTGTCCCACCAACAACCCCTGCTCCCAGCATCAGAAATAATGACACACACACGCCCCCCAGGTCACACACATGCATTGGTTATACAGGGACCCCTCGCCCGGCACTGAGATGCGGCCACCTCTGGGGCGGGGCGGCTGGTGACCCCGGGACCCCTCGCCTGGCGCTGAGATGCGGCCAGGGGGCTGGGAGAGGGATGAAGGGGTTGTGGGGTGATGGGGGGCTGAGGGGGTTGTGGCAGGGCCTGGGGGTGATGGGGTCTGGGTGGGGGGCAGGCAATGGGGAGATATGGGGCTTTGGGAGAGGCTGTGGGGGGCTAAGAGGGATGGGGGCGAGGGAGGAATGTGGGGCTCTGGGGGGTCTAAGGGTGTGATGGAGGGATGGGGGAGGGGGACGGAGGGGGCGTTGAGGGGGGATGGGAGAGGGGAGCGGGGCTACGAGGGGGATGGGGAGCTGGAAGTCATGGGGTGTGTGGGGAGATGTTGGGGGGGGACGCTGCCCTTTTCTCCCTCAGTTTCCCTCCTTTACCCTCTATTTTTCCACCCACCCCATTTCTCCCCAGTTCCCATGGCAACTGGCAAGCATGCTGGGGGGGGGGGGGGGACACCAGGAACCACCCATCCCATCATGCCCTGCATCTCCTTGAGGGGGTCCCCACGACAGGAACCTCTGCCCCCTCCCCCTGGCTCCTCCCCTGTCCCCCAACCCAGGCGGGGGGGATTTGCGGGTCCCTGACTTGCTTCCCCAGCCCCCCACCCTGAGGGCCCATGGGCGGGCTATCCGGTATTTTGAGGGGCCCCCAGCTCAACCCACTAATCCATAAAGCCCCCCATGAGGGGATTAATGGGGTGCCCCACGGCACCCCCAGCAGCCCCCCAACATCCAGTTATTGGGGACCCAACACACCCATCCTGAGACTGTGATTTTGGGGGATCCATTTACAAACTAAGGGGATCAAAGCTGTGGTGGGTGGGGTGGGTATTGGGGGGCTGGTGGAAGAGGGGGGCTAGAGGTCACAAAAGAGGGGGTTATGGTCACTGTCTTTACCAGTGGCAGCCCCCCCATATTTCCTGGCACAGAGCCTCCCAATTGTACCCCATAGCACCTGATATTCCATGGCACTGACCCCCCAATATAGCCACAGCCCCCCTTCTCTGTGAAACCCCCAATATGCCCCAGGGCCCCCCTGCTCTGTGCCACCAACACCCCAATATACCCCAGGGCTCCCCCTTCTCTGTGCAACCCCCCCGATACACTCCAGGGCCCCCCTTCTCTGTCCCACCCCGCTAATATACCTCAATGTCTCTCCTTCTCTGTGCAACACCCTGATACACCCCAGGGCCCCCCTTCTCCGTGCAACTCCTGAGTACACCCCAGGGCCCCCCTTCTCTGTGCAACCCCTCCATACACCCCAGGGCCCCCCTTCTCCATGCAACCCCCTGAATACACCCCAGGGCCCCCTTCTCTGTGCAACCCCTGAGTACACCCCAGGGCCCCCTTTCTCCATGCAACCCTTCCATACACCCCAGGGCCCCCCTTCTCCGTGCCACCCCCTGATACCCCCCAGGGCCGCCCCTTCTCTGTCCCACCCCGCTAATATACCTCAATGTCTCCCCCTTCTCTGTGCAAGCCCCTGAATACACCCAGGGCCCCCCTTCTCCGTTGAACCCCCCCATACACCCCAGGGCTCCCCCTTCTCTGTTGAACCCCCTGAATACACCCCAGGGCTCCCCCTTCTCTGAGCAAGCCCCTGAATACACCCCAGGGCTCCCCCTTCTCTGTGCCACCCCCTGATACACCCCAGGGCTCCCCCTTCTCCGTGCCACCCCCCGATACACCCCAGGGCTGCCTCTTCTCTGTTCCACCCCGCTAATATACCTCAATGTCTCTCCCTTCTCTGTGCAAGCCTCTGATACACCCCAGGGCCCCCCTTCTCCATGCCACCCCCCAAACACCCCAGGACTCCCCCTTCTCTGTGCAAGCCTCCAATACACTTCAGGGGCCCCTTCTCCATGCCACCCCCCCATACACCCCAGGGCTCCCCCTTCTCCGTGCCACCCCCTGTACACCCCAGGGGTCCCCCTTCTCTGTGCAACCCCCTGAATACATCCCAGGGCCCCCCTTCTCTGTGCAACACCCTGATACACCCAAGGGCTCCCCCTTCTCCATGTCACCCCCCCATACACCCCAGGGCCCCCCTTCTCCATGCAACCCCCCGATACACCCCAGGGCCGCCCCTTCTCTCTCCCGGCCCGCTAATATTCCTCAATGTCTCCCCCTTCTCCGTGCAAGCCCCTGAATACACCCCAGGGCGCCCCTTCTCCATGGAAGCCCCTGAATACACCCCAGGGCTCCCCCTTCTCTGTGCCACCCCCCCATACACCCCAGGGCTCCCCCTTCTCTGTGCAAGCCTCCGATACACTTCAGGGCCCCCTTCTCCATGCCACCCCCCGATACACCCCAGGGCCCCCCCTTCTCCGTGCCACCCCCTGTACACCCCAGGGCCCCCCCTTCTCTGTGCAACACCCTGATACACCCCAGGGCTCCCCCTTCTCCATGTCACCCCCCATACACCCCAGGGCTCCCCCTTCTCCATGCAATCCCCCGATACACCCGAGGGCCGCCCCTTCTCTCTCCCGGCCCGCTAATATTCCTCAATGTCTCCCCCTTCTCCATGCAAGCCCCTGAATACACCCCAGGGCTCCCCCTTCTCTGTGCCACCCCCCCGATACACCCCAGGGCCCCCCTTCTCCATGCCACCCCCTATACACCCCAGGGCCCCCCTTCTCTGTGCAACACCCTGATACACCCCAGGGCTCCCCCTTCTCCATGTCACCCCCCCATACACCCCAGGGCCCCCCTTCTCCATGCAACCCCCCGATACACCCCAGGGCCGCCCTTTCTCTGTCCCGGCCCGCTAATATTCCTCAATGTCTCCCCCTTCTCTGTGCGAGCCCCGAATACGCCCCAGGCCTCCCCCTTCTCCGCGCCCCCGATGCAACCCCCCGCCCGGGCCCCTTACCGTCCTCCATGGGCACGTAGAGGTTGAGGTAGAGACAGTCCTCGCTCTGGTTCAGCACGTAGCCGGCCACCACCTCCAGGTTGTCGGTGAACCACACGGGCAGCATGATCCCCGGCAGCATCCCGTGGACGTTCTGGGGGCACACGGGGGCGAAGGCCGTGGCGTTGCGGACCTGGGCCCAGGAGGCGGGGGCCTCGGGGGGCTGGAAGCGGCGTTCGCCCACCGGCTGGGGTGGCGTAGGGCACCCCCAGGTACTGAACCACCGGCCCCAGGATCTCGTTGTTCAGGTCCTTCTTCACCCCCCGCAGCTTCCCGTAGTGGGTGCTGGCCACGGGGTGCCTCTCCTCCGCGGGGGCCGGGGGGCCGGCCCCGGCCGCCAGCCCCGCCGCCCACAGCAGGACGCAGGCCCCCGCCCGCCAGCCGGCGCCGGGCGGGACCGGCATGGCGCGGGGCGTGGTGGTCGGGGGGGGGGGAGATGCGGCGGGATGGGGGGGCGGCGAGGGGGGGGGCGCGGCTCAGCGGGGGGGGGCTAGCGGCGCCGGGGGGCTCTGTTGCGTTCCATGGCGGGCCGGGAGGGGTCCGGCGGGCGGGCGCAGCATCGGGGCCTCACCTGGAGAAGGAGAGAAAGGAAGGGGGATGGATGGAGGGATGTGGGGGGCGGGAGGGATGGAGGGAGGGAGGGAGATGGAGGGATGTGGGGGGCAGGAGGGAGGGACAGAAGGAAAAAAGAGTCCGTCAGGGGGGCCGGTCAGAGCCGCCAATCCGCGTTGGAGGGGACAGAACACCCCCCTTCACGGCCCCCCCAAACTCCCCCCCCCCAGAGTCCTGCCCCATCCCCGGGGATGTGACCTTTTCTCTGCAAATATGACCCAGAACTGAGACAGGAAGTGGCTCATTTTTGGGGGGGGGGAGATCTGGGGCACCCCTGCTCTGACTGCGGCCCCTGCCCCTGGCACCGAGACAAGACCCTGCCCCCCCCCCGCTGTATCCCAGCCCCCCGGGACCCCCCAACCCCGACACTCAGCCCTGTCCTGCCCCCCTGCATCCAAACCCCTGGGACCCCCTGGCCCCGACAGTCGGCCCTGACCTGCCCCCCCCCCGCATCCAAACCCCTGGGACCCCCAGACCCCCACACTCGGCCCTGACCTGACCCCCACATCCAAACCCCTGGGACCCCCAGACCCCCCCCCCCCCCCGCCGCCCTGACCTGACCCCCCACATCCAAACCCCTGGGACCCCCAGACCCCCACGCTCGGCCCTGACCTGACCCCCACATCCAAACCCCTGGGACCCCCAGACCCCGACACTCAGCCCTGACCTGACCCCCACATCCAAACCCCTGGGACCCCCAGACCCCCACGCTCCCCTGACCTGACCCCCCACATCCAAACCCCTGGGACCCCCAGACCCCGACGCTCCGCCTGACCCCCACATCCAAACCCCTGGGACCCCCAGACCCCCACGCTCGGCCCTGACCTGACCCCCACATCCAAACCCCTGGGACCCCCAGACCCCGACACTCGGCCCTGACCTGACCCCCACATCCAAACCCCTGGGACCCCCAGACCCCGACACTCGGCCCTGAACTGCCCCCCCCCGCATCCAAACCCCTGGGACCCCCAGACCCCCACACTCGGCCCTGACCTCCCCGTGTCTCCAGGGCTCCTGACAGGAATCTCCCTGGTTAAATCGGGCCTTGAATTAAATAACTCAAGAGTTTTATGTTTATGCTTCAGAATCCGGCAATTAGAGCCGGGAACCGGTAATTAGCCCAAGTCGAGTCGCAGACACGCCGGCGGCTCCAGCCACGTCCCGCCACGTGCGCCGGCCTCCGGGGGACAAGATACATAGATCGATAGATAGATAGAGGGGGAGGATGGGGATAGATAGATAGATAGATGGGTGGGGATAGATAGATAGATAGATAGATAGATAGATAGAGGGGGTGGATGGGGATAGATAGATAGGTAGATAGATAGATAGATAGAGGGGGAGGATGGGGATAGATCGATAGAGAGATGGGTGGATGGGGACAGATAGATAGATAGATGGATGGGGTGGATGGGGATAGAGAGATAGAGAGATAGATGGGGTGGATGGGGATAGATAGATAGATAGAGAGATAGATAGATAGAGTGGATGGGGATAGATAGATAGAGAGATGGTGTGGATGGGGATAGATCGATAGATAGATTGATAGATAGAGAGAGAGGTGGATGGGGATAGATAGATAGGTAGATAGATAGATAGATAGATGGGTGGGGATAGATAGATAGAGAGATAGATGGGGTGGATGGGGATAGATAGAGAGATAGATGGGGTGGATGGGGATAGATAGATAGATAATAGATAGATAGAGGGGGAGGATGGGGATAGATCGATAGAGAGATGGGTGGATGGGGACAGATAGATAGATGGATAGATAGAGAGAGAGGTGGATGGGGATAGATAGATGGATAGATAGAGAGAGAGGTGGATGGGGATAGATAGATGGATAGATAGAGAGAGAGGTGGATGGGGATAGATAGATGGATAGATAGAGAGATGGTGTGGATGGGGATAGATAGAGAGATGGGGTGGATGGGGATAGATCGATAGATAGATTGATAGAGAGAGAGGTGGATGGGGATAGATAGATGGATAGATAGAGAGAGAGGTGGATGGGGATAGATAGATAGGTAGATAGATAGATAGATAGATGGGTGGGGATAGATAGATAGAGAGATAGATGGGGTGGATGGGGATAGATAGAGAGATAGATGGGGTGGATGGGGATAGATAGATAGATAATAGATAGATAGAGGGGGAGGATGGGGATAGATCGATAGAGAGATGGGTGGATGGGGACAGATAGATAGATGGATAGATAGAGAGAGAGGTGGATGGGGATAGATAGATGGATAGATAGAGAGAGAGGTGGATGGGGATAGATAGATGGATAGATAGAGAGAGAGGTGGATGGGGATAGATAGATGGATAGATAGAGAGAGAGGTGGATGGGGATAGATAGATGGATAGATAGAGTAGGTGGATGGGGATCAATAGATAAATAGAGGGGTGGAAGGGGATAGATCGATGGATAGATGGGGTGGATGGGGATGGGTAGATGGGGGGCGGATGGGGATTGACAGATGGGGATGGATAGATGGGGGGTGGGTGGGGATGGGTAGATGGGGGGCGGATGGGGTAGATGTGGGGTGGATGCGGGTGGATAGGTGGGGAGCGGATGGGGATGGATAGATGGGGGCCGGAGGGGGATGGATGGATAGATGGGGGGCAGATGGGGTAGATGTGGGGTGGATGGGGGGCGGATGCGGATGGGGATGGGTAGATGGGGTAGATGGGGGGAAAGAGTCGGGGCAGGGTTGGTCCCTTGGGGGGGGTAGGGAAACGGGGATGGGGGAAGAGCATGAGAGAGTCACCCCTGGGTAGAGTGGGGTGCGGGGGGAGGGAAAGGGGGGGAGGAACAGGGAAAGGGGGTGGGTAGATGGGGGGCGGATGGCTAGATGGGGGGCGGATGTGGGTGGATAGGTGGGGGGTGGATGCGGATGGGGATGGATAGATGGGGGGAAGGGGATGGGTAGATGGGGGGCAGATGGGGTAGATGTGGGGCAGATGCGGGTGGATAGATGGGGGGCGGATGCAGATGGGGATGGGTAGATGGGGAGAGGGGGGAGGGGGATGGGTAGATGGGGTAGATGGAGGCGGATGCGGGTAGATAGATGGGGGGCGGATGCAGATGGGGATGGGTAGATGGGGGGCGGAGGGGGGGGGGGAGGGGGGGATGCGAGGGGATGGATAGATGGGGATGGGGTGGTGGGGGGGATGGGTAGATGGGGGGGTGGATGCGGGGTGGATAGAGGGTGGGGGGGGGGCGGATGCAGATGGGGATGGGTAGATGGGGGGCGGAGGGGGATGGGTAGATGGGGTAGATGGGGGGCGGAGGGGGATGGGTAGATGGGAGGCGGAGGGCGATGGGGATGGATAGATGGGGGCGGATGGGGTAGATGGGGGGCGGAGGGGGATGGGGATGGATAGATGGGGGGGCGGATGGGGTAGATGGGGGGCGGATGCAGATGGGGATGGATAGATGGGGGGCGGAGGGGGATGGGTAGATGGGGGGCGGATGCAGATGGGGATGGGTAGATGGGGGGTGGAGGGGGATGGGTAGATGGGGTAGATGGGGGCGGAGGGGGATGGGTAGATGGGGGGCGGAGGGGGATGGGGATGGGTT